AGATAAAATTCCTTTGCTTGTAAGGTATTTTGATATATCCCTATTTTTGTTGGGTAATACAATGAGTCTGTCGTATTTTATAAAAGCTTTATTACCCGACTCTCTTTCTACTTTCAATTGGGTTTGTAGTTCTCTGCGTTTGTTCAAGACTTCTAGGGGATAGTCCTCTTTTAAATAGTATGGTGAGTTCTTTAGGCGTTTTTGGTTTTGGTGAATTTTTATTTTTAGTCCCACTGTGCTGAACGTAACAACTACAGGTTTTCACCCTTTTTCCCAATTCTTCTGACCGATTCTATACCATTCTTATATTGTAAGTTAAAGTAGTTGTATATTATATCTAATATTATTTTTTCTAAATCGTGATAGGATTTTTCTCGTTCTTCTACTCCAAATATAATCAGGTTTTTGCGTCTCGTGTATCTTTCTAAATTTTTGATAGCTGAGGAATGCTCCTCTAATTTCTTTTCTATACGTTCATTTTTAATTTCCAAGCTCCTAAACTTGTCGTTTATATTATTGTTAATAGCAGTTTTTATTTCTTCTTTCATTTCGAGCATATCAATCTTTTGCTGTTTTATTTCTTTTTGCATGTTTTCCAGCATGCATTTGATTACTTCCATGGTTCTTGAAATGTCTTTGTAAGCTTTAAGTGGGCTGTAAGACAATTTTATTTGATCACTTTTGTGAGCAGTGCCCTCTATTGGTTACGTGGTGAATTAGAAAGTTTGATTAGTTCGATCGTTTACGGATATGGAGTACGATATATCTCTGGAGTTAGGTTGATTACGTAGTGTTCAAGTTTAGTGATAGATGGCGTTGATATTACCGTTTTTATATGTCTTATGGCTCAGGTTGATGATGATTAGCACTTTTAAAGTTATTTTTTTAAATGTTTAATAAGATTTGTAGTTTTTGCACTTAATAAAGTTTTTAGTTCGAGTGATTGTTTTTTGAAGAACAATTCTTGCAACAAATCGTTTATCTAATAACTTGACTCACCAGCCAATATTTCAATTCACTTAACACAACACTGTTGACCGTTAAGTATTTTATTTTGAAAATATTTTAATTCACTGCGTTTTCACTTGGTTTTTCATATCGTCTGAGTGGCACTTATTATAAATTTACGGATTTATACACTTTTAGCTTCTAATATACAGAAAACAATATTTTTATTCACTTTAAATACGGACTCGATGTGAACATTGGCACTGTGGCGCCCTCTCTCCCATTAACAGGTTATAGGTATTACAATATTAGTTTAACTGTGTTACGTTATGATTACGAATATGTAACAGTTTATAGGTATTATAACATGTGCGCGACATTGTCAATATTAGTACCTTTGTACAATTTTATACAGTCACAAAATATGTAAGTATTTAAGTATTATAGTTATTTTTATATCATGTTTTTTTTTTTTGAGAAAATGAATTCCAACAATTTGCATTTTGAGTAATTTGCATTTGGCATTTAGAATATTTATTTAAATGCCAAATGCAAATTGGCATTTAAAAAAATTTTGGTAATTTATAGCGCTTAAGCCAACTTATTCATTTTGAGAAGTAATTCTGAGTTGATAATTTAGAAATATTCCGTAACACCATGTATGTAAAAGCTTACTCATGAAAAGTTTTCTACGATCATTCATCTGCTGACGGATTGCACGCCAAACGTTTCTTTTTACTAAAAAAACAATAAAATTGGATTATGATTATATTAATAGTAAGAAAATAAAAAAAATAATTTTGAAAAATTATTACAATCAAGAAAATCGAGAAAAAGTCAATTAGCAAAAAGCGTGACTCATAATAGTATGCGGGATTAGAACCAATACACATCGACGCCAGAAACCAACTCAACGTAAGGCTACTTACCTTAGACCAATCGAACTGCTGATGGGGTGGTTGAAATTACGCATGTATAGATAATCTATATAACCAAAATAAGGTGTGCACAAAAATGTAGATACTTACTTTACAACTTCCATCATGTGTTTTTGTTTCATCGAATAAGATATTTTTATTGCCCTGTGTTTATTTTTTTTTGTTGCCCATTTTTATTACGTATACATACACTGATTGTTTATTTTATAAAACTTATGACTAAAACCGAAATCACATAGTTTAGACCAACTTATAAAAAATTTATTGTATATTTACAAAACGTATGACTAGAATCGAAACCGAATAAAAATGTACACCAACAATACGACTTATAAAAAACTAATCACAACATAAAATATACACAGCTTTCAAAAACAAAACAAACGTAAATGATTTTTGAGCGACGAGCGAAACAGGTCTGTCTAGCAGCGCGCCTCAGCGGTCAGTGACCTCCGCGTAGAAATGAAAGAGAAGCAACAAGAAGCCAAGATGGCGCGATGTTTCTTTTGACTCGTTCGAGTTATTTATCATTAAATATGTTAATACTTACAAATATCTTATTTTAATCGATAAATAAAAACATCAGTTCCCTTTATTATTATATATTACATCACTGTTATTAATTTGATCATGATTTGTTTATAAATAATCCAGTTACAATCGCTAGAATTTCATTTTTAATGGATTTTTTATTATTTTTTTCTATCGAAAAATTTACCGAAAACGTGTTTTGAACACAATGGTCCCCCCATATATAAGATCAAGATTAACATATTTTTTTGCAGCTCTAAAATGTATACATATTCCTAAAAAAATGTTTTCTGAAGCCTACTTTGACTATGTTCAGCGCCTTAAGATCGAGCCAAAATAAAAACACGTTTCCAATGAGGGAGCCTTTAATTTTTTTATTATTATTTGTTGTTATAGCGACAACAGAAATACACATGCTGATGAGCTACATTTGCCTTAACATGAGTTGACTAATAAAGCGAAACCTCACCAAGAAATATCTTGTAGTACCATATTATGTAGATAGCGTTAGCCTAATGTTACCTTTTATCGTATTATGTAAATGTTCGCGGCTTAACGTAATAGCAATCCCATTCAGTATTGCTTCCCACTCACACAGTATTTTAGATGCTTGTTTTTTATTTAAATATCGCTTTACGTGCTTTTCGTAGCATTAAGGTGGCATAGATATATCATGTTAACTATAAACTTCCTTTATCTTTCTTGTTTGGATTCCATTTTATAAAAGAAAATGAAAGTTTAAAAATGCCTGCAATGAAATAATTTTAACAGGGCTTCACAGAATTTGCAATAAGAAGCCGGAAACCGGACATTTCCGTACGAAACTGTCAAGTCTCAACTCGACTCAGTAATTAATTACGCCTATAAATTCTCGACCAGTCCTAGCAGCAATGATAGAACGCGCCGTTTGTCTCCGGACTTAGGATTGGAACCCCAGTGCACCAGCGTCTTTCATAGAACGCCTTATTTACTTTTGGATTTTGTAGTAAAAACTTCTGTGAAATCTTTGTGATTTAAATTTTTTAACTAAATTTCAAAGTATTTAATTCACTTTGCATACATTTATATTATTACAATAAAATAACGCTCAAAAATTTTTGTGGTAAGATTATGTGCGCTATCGATTAATTTAATGTGTTAATCGCTCACACGTAGCCTCCCCCATTCTAAAGTTTTTCAAGGTATAGTATTTTAATTTATAAAAATGTAGTAAATGTAATAAATGTGTAATAATTATTAAAATGTTTTTAACTTAGCGAGATGTTTTGATCTCTAATTATTTGACTATTTCCTTGGGCAACTGATTCCGATTGTTTTGCAAACTGTACGCCCACCCTTCTGTCGTTCTCATTATTCACTGTTGGGAGACACAGAAGCAACAGGATACGAACAAAATTTTGTTAAATTCTTTTTTGTAATTGTCTCATATTATATTCAGAATCAACAGTTTATAATAGAGACATACAATTATACAAATCATACAATATTCATTGTTGGAGCTGCCTAGTAAGCACATATATATATACTTGTGGCAGGCAGCTCCGCCCTTTCATGATGCTTACATACTATACATTGGATGTTTCGAGCTTCCTTAAATCCAGAATTTACATTTACAAAAGAAAACTATTATTATAAATCATAATTTTTAGATTAGGGAACTTTAGCTGAAAAAATTTTAAATTAAGTTTTATAATATTTAAGAACAGAGGTAATACGTAAGAGATAATATGACAGAGGTATAATTACAACTGTCTCATAGACCAGCGGCAGTAAAATACATAATATCATACAGCCACTAAGTCACACCGAGAGAAGATCTTCTGTGTCAGTATAACTTAGTGGCTGCAACCAATCAATAATTTTTTTTTTCAAATACATTTATGACTTTACAATATTGGAATAACATATCATTATGGGGTTTGTATTTAAATTTAATTTTATATAGTATTATAATCTTTAATAATCGTGTCTGTATATCATAGATTTTTGAAGGTAAATTTTATAAGTTTTGCCATAACAGATTACGCCATAATTGATAACGGAGTCGGCGAATGCCGTATACGCAATTTTGCTATGATAGCTCTAAGCATAGTACACACAAAGTCCGCATGTGGGCCCCAGTTAAAATTTTGTTGTTCCTTGTGTTTTGTATTTCTAAGAACGGTGAATGAATGTGCAGGAGTTTAGTTTTTACGTGGTGGAGCCACGCTGCAACTATATTATAGTTGTAGCACGAGTGGGTCGGCTCGACCGGGATAGGACCACGCTCTCACAGAATACCAGCGTAAAATAGAAGCTACACGCCGCTGTGTTCCGTATGGTGAGTGTAGAGAACCGGAGAACCTTTTTACTGGAAACGAGGTATTTCATCTTACTCTACATGGGTGATAACGCATTTGCTTTTTGGTTCTTATTCGAGAATAAATGTAGATGTCTTTGGGCCACAGAATCCGCTTGCCATCAGGTGGACTTTGTGCTCATTTGTCAACTTATTCTATAAAAAAATGTTTTTTTAATAATTGATTGTCAAACCAACGTCATGTGCACCAACGAGCACACTTGTCGATACTTAACAGGTTAAACTCAGTATGCATCAGCTTCTCCGCAGTACTTAGATCCCTGTGAGCTGTGGAATAAATTACACATATCGTTGATGTATATAAGGTACTCAGTTGGACTAAGAATCGACCCTTGAGCTGTTCCATGATCGTTCGGGACTCTGTCGCTGTGATCCCTCGCTATGATAATCGCACTCATTATACCTTTGTTGTGATAACCTTTGAACCATTGGCCCCCGTATACCATTTTTCTGATTTCTCTGTAAAGTACCTCATAATTTAGCGTATCAAAAGCTTTGCTATGATAAATTTGATTACATATTTTTACTGTTAAGGTGATCATTGATTTCATCTGTAAAGTGTGATAGCAATTGCGTGGTATTTTATTAGTCTAAAATTCATATTGTTTTTCATGAATTATGCTATTTGTAACTTCATGAAACGAACAAACGACACTAAAAAGTAACACACGTACATAGCTGCGAGAGAATGCGATTTAAATTAGTCGTGTTTAGGTCTTCAAGCGTCTATGTGATGTTTCACCTTGAGAGTCAATAAATTTTTGTTCGATAACATAACATAACATAAACACTCACGCCTGTCACCCAGAGGGGTAGGCAGAGACTACAGACTTCCATTTGGCACGATCCTGACACACCTCTCTTGCCTCCTTCACATCCATACACCTACGCATACATGCTCGTCGGTTAAGGGTACTCCTAATTTGGGATTAATAAATCGCCAATTTGGTCGATAAATTTTCGCCTAGGACGTCTCTTTCCGACTCTGCCATTCACTTCTGCACCATAAATTTTCTTTGTCACTCTTTCTTCATTCATTCTTTCCACATGACCAAACCACCGAAGCATTCCTTTCTTAATCCTGATCACAACGACATCTTGCAAACCACACTCTACTCTTATTACACAGTTTCTTACCCTGTCATTCAGATTCAGCCCTAACATACTCCTTAACGACCGCATTTCTACTGCGTTTATTCTACTCTCATGCTTCTTCTGCCACACCCAACTTTCACTACCATACGTTAAAATAGGGACCAACACAGCATTGTGAATTGCCATACGTGCCTTTTTCGACACATTTTGACTCTTCACAATAGAGTGCAAGGCCCCATTTACTCTATTTCCCGCATTCACTCGTCGTTCTATATCCTTATCATATCTCCCATCCCTGCTAAATACGCAGCCTAAATATACAAACTCATCTACTTGCTCGATCAACTCCCCTTCTATTCTTATTTTACAAATCGTTTTACTTTCTTCTCTTTCAAAAACCATAACCTTCGTCTTACTTACGTTCACTTTCATACCCCTTTCTTTTAATTATCCGTTCATTAATGTAACCGTCATTTGCAACTCGGCCGCCGACGACGCAAGAATAACTTGATCATCGGCGTACAAAAGGCATTTGACGGTTAACTCACCCATACTTAATCCGCATTCTTCAACTTTCAAATTTTGCAAACAACTGTCCATAAATAGGTTGAACAGCCACGGGGAAGCCACACAGCCCTGTCTGATACCTTTATGGATGTCAAACCAGTCCGAGTAGACCCCGTCGATCCTAACACAAGCACAAGAGTCCCTGTAAAGAGACTCCAATGCCTGTATCAAGCCAGCGCTCAACCCAAATGAGTTCAGTGTTTGCCATAGCAAATCCCTATCCACTCTGTCATAGGCCTTTTCCAAGTCCATGAACGCACAAAAAACCTTTTGGTTTTTGGCCAGAAACTTTTCCGCGATCATGCGCATGGAAAAGACTTGATATGTACATCCCATTCCCTTTCTAAATCCCGCTTGCACATCCCAAATTTTTCCATCAGTTTCTTTCATGACCCTTTCAATCAGTACCTTAGCATACAGTTTTCCCACAATGCTAAGAAGGCTGATGCCACGGTAGTTTTTACAGTCCTGCTGCGACCCTCTTCCTTTATATACTGGGACTATCACGGCTTTGCACCAGTCTACCGGTACCCGCTTCAGTTCCCAGCATAAATTAAACAAGGTGTGCAGCAGGCCTGCCACCACTTCCTCTCCAGCCCTTAGCATTTCGAGTGAAACTCTATCATATCCGGCAGCCTTACCTGCTTTCATGCTTTTCATTGCTTTCATTATTTCATCTATACTTATCTCGCTACCTCTTTCCTCTTCTTTCGGTGTTTCTACTTCACTTAGTAGTACACACGTTGTCTCCTCACTCATAAACACGCTTTCAAAATATTCCTTCCATCTCTTTAAACTCAAAACTTCATCATTCAGAATATAGCCATTCTCGTCTCTTATAGCATTCATCATAGGCTGTTTTGAATGTCCCCTGGCAGTTGTTACAAGTTTCCAGAACATTTTAATATTTGCCCGGAAGTTATCCGATATTCTTCTATCACTCTTATCCGTTCTTTCCTGCTTTTTTCTTTCAACTACTTCTTTTACTCTCTTATTAAGACGTCTAAAGACTGCCTTTTTTCTTTCAATATCACCATTCGTACCACTAGAATTAGCAGCCTTTGTTGCTAGTAAATCTAGCCATGCTCTCTTCTTTGCTTCAACTTCCATACGTATCTCATCATACCACAATAACGTATTATTTTTCCTTTCGTTCTTTCTCTTACTAACACCACATACTTCGGTAGCTGCATCCACTAAACCTTTCTTTACATTTTGCCATACATTCTCCAAGTCTAACTCCTTCATACATAATTCATCCAAACCACTTATATTTTCTTTCAGTCTACATTTGAACTTGTTTTTATCACTTTCATCTTGTAATCTTTCTGTTCTAATACGCTGTAACGCAGTGGTAGACACAGACGATTGATGGCGCCAACGCCTGAATAGACCATTAATTCGGCATAAAACTAAATAATGATCCGTTCCTACGTTAGAACCCCGGTAAACTCTCGTATCTACCACTGCGCCCCTCAATCTTTCATCCACAATTATGAAATCTATCATGCTTCTATCGTCACCTCTTTCCCAAGTATACATGCGAATCCTCTTATGGCGAAAGCAAGTGTTCGTCACAAAAAGATTCTTTTCCATACATACGGTGAGGAGACTTTCAACATTCTCATTTATACTTTCATCACCAAACGTTCCCAATATCCTTTCATAACCAAGCCTCCTGACCCCAACCCTTCCATTAAAATCTCCCAGCATAATAATATTTTCATTTCCCTTACACTTCATTAACACCATCCTTACCATTTCCCAAAACTGCTCTCGGATATAAGTGGGCTTAGACATGTCTGGGGCGTAGACCCCTAACACAAACAACTTCTTTAAGCCCATTTTCATTCGTATCCATAGCAGTCTTGGGCTTACACATTCATACTCTTTCACACATTGGCCCATTCTTTCTGAAAGGATGATACCTACTCCCTGGCATGCCCGCTCGATCTCGTCTACACCAGACCAGTATGCGGTATACATGCCATGTGTAGTGACATCCTTCCCCTTTCTTTTCGTCTCATTTATGCATAACACATCTATTCCTCTATCATACATCATATCGCATACTTCATCCATTTTATCATTCATTGCCCCACATACATTCAACGTAGCCAGACGGGCCTCTGCAATCCACTTTTCGCCTCTCCGGGAGACAGAACGATAATATGACTTTAATAATCCTCCAGACTGAATTTCGGCCATGGCGGCCTGCCTCAACGGAGACTAGCCATCGGCGCAGGGCAGGATTATAGTGCCCAAGTGTATGCGCAAGCACAGGTGCACTCTATATTCCCTCACTCTCATAATCCGATGGGACGGTAAACCGACACGACCGGAGAGAGATCAGGCGCAGGACCAACGGCTTTCCGTGCTTTCCGAGGCGCGGGGGTGAGACTTTACATATAGAATAATAGTAGAAAGCGCTATCACAAAGCTATTTTACTCGGAAGAAAATATTCTTTTGATTTGTTATATAAACATTTAGGATCTACATGTCTAAAAATAAGGATTGTAACATTTATTTGTCGTTAATTTTAAACTTTATCTTATATTTTTTATTCTTATATTTTATGGAGCAATTTTTGTTGAAAATTATCAACTAATCAAAAAAAAATTGTCATCGAATAAAAAATAGAATCAAATCATTTCTGGTGAAATATTTTAATCATTTCATTGAATAAAACTATTACTTACGGATTTTATCGCGTTTAATTCAACTTCACGGGGGGGGGGGGACAATCAGTCCCCCCCCGTGACCACGGGTGCTGTAAAGCACCCGAAACGTCGGGATAATGAAAATTAAAGTTGAATTAAACGCGATAAAATCCATAAATAATAGTTTTATTCAATGTGTAGTGTTCGCGTAATTTTAAAAAATCTTAATCATTTCATTTCATTTGTAGGTTGTTTCACTTGTACCCCGTGTGAACTGCACGCATGTTTTTTTAAACGATACCTCCACACTAGGACGTTCTCCTGTTTTATAGGGGCTGTTAACGTACATACATTTTAAAAGGACAAACATGCCGACCCGGAACAATAATTTTTTTTAGGAAATACAAATATGTGTTCCGTGCGGGATTCAAACCTGTGGCCCTTAAAGCTGCAAGTCATTTGCTAAGTCACTACGTCACGGAGCCGTCAAACTTCTTTTTAACTCATGTAGAGGTAAAAAGGAGTAGGAAGTACATCTAATTTGAATTGGATGCCACCTAGACACTTATATAAATCCTCGATTAAGAATCAAAATGCTTCAAAACCAGTTAAGATCTCCGATTTTCACACGAATCATTTAACAGAGACATTTAAATTCCCCGTTCGAGACAAATCAGTTTTAATGTAGCTACAGCGTACAAGTCAGTATACTATTTTACCTTAATTTAGTATTCAGTTATAAAGAAAGTCAATTTTGGATTGCATATACCCACCTAATATTAATTAATAAGTCATAAATGATACTGGATCCGCCCCTGAATGAAATTGGTTAAATCGTTTATTGTTCGAGCAATATGAAGATATACATAAATACTTTTTAATATCAAGCAAATCGTTTTTAGAATTTATTGCTGTATTAGAATCGAAACGTGTTCTATAATTTCGGTCAAGCTTCGTTTATGACAGTGTGTGCGGAACACCACGTACGGGGAAATTTACTGTTTTAAGTAAGCAATTTTTAATTAAGCTTGCTAATAAATTGATATGGGGTAACATTGGAAAATTGCGCAAAAACAATTTTATTATATTTCATGTTTGGTCATACTTTTATTCTTTACTAGCA